AGACTACTTGTGGCAGATCCTATCTAGCCTAATACTACAATGCCGATGTTGACAACAACAGCTCCCCGAAGTACGAGCATACAGCGGACAATGCCGCACACTTCCAGCACCAGGTATGTCTCTCGCAACACTCACAACCCCGATCCACACCACACAAATGCCACTTGCACCCAAGGACCACCCTGCGTCACACCCAGCTCACAGCGGAGCAGCTCGGCTATAGCTGCCCGCTCCTTCTTGCTCGCCCGTGAGAGCGTGAGTGCCAGCCAGCCAGCAAATAGCGCAGCAGCGCTCGCGCAGCATGCAGCCCGCACCCGAATGCCGAATGAGGAGGMAGGCCCTTCCCTATATCGAAGTGGCCTGCCTGCGTCCAGTCCAGGAAGATTCCGGTAGGCCCCGGTAGGCACAGGCCCAGACCTCCACACGCAGGCCCAGGGCCTGATGGTTACATGTGCCCAACTGCCCTTGGCCTGCTCAYGGCCTTTTCCACGAGTCTGGCCCAGGTCCCCATTCAGATACATTTGCAAACATATGGCTTGGGCCTGGGCGCCTTCAACCAACTGGCGCAGCGCAACTGTTTGAATTTCACCAGTTGCTGGGTACCCTGAAAATCGAGGCCCTGAGGGCCTGTCGCGCCTGCCTTCACTTAGGGCGGCCGACATACTGCAAAAAGGGCCCCAAGGGGGCTGAGTGGGCGTAGCCTCGCAGATGTGGGTAGAGTGGAAAATTAAAAAATGCCCTTTTGGGCTGGGATCTTTGTGTTATGCCCTCCTTTTGGGCTGGTGGGCAAATTTGCAATCTGGACCTCGCCGTTTGGGCCTTGGCCTTTTGCAATCGGGCTTTGGAAAAGTTTGCAAGTAACGGGGCATTTTGCAAAGTTGGACGGTACCCGGTAGGGGTATATTGCAAAGATGGGGGATCAAACCGACACCAGGGGTATTTCACAAAATATTTTTTTTGTCAGAGGCGCACTCCCCTCTATTCACATCTTTTAGGGGCATTTTGGCATGTATCTCAAGATTCTCAACTTATGGGGGTATGTTGCAAATTGTCCCTCGTTTGTTAAGTTGAACGAAATTCAACGAGTTATTAGTAACTTGTTACCTTGTAGGATTTTTACTTTTTTCTTTCTAGTTTATCAAAGGGAAAAAAAAAGGAAATTTCGAACAAGAAAAAATACTTTTTTTCTTTTTCTTTTTTTTTATAAAGGGAGGTAGCAGTTTTATTATATAATCAATAACGAGGCCAGGAATCCCTCAACATCTCAACCCGAAAAAGCTGGGGCCGCTACCCAGAAAATACAATTGTAATGTCCATAGTACTCCAGAGTCCATACTATACATATTTTCAGACCTCTCAGACGGAGACATTCCGTGGTCATTGTGACAATATAGTATATACTGAGGGCATACTCACACGAGGGCTTTGGTGGATGTAGCTGACCAGAATTCTACCATGGCCTGGATGTATCTAACTGCGACTCTGTCCAACACTTATGACAAAAAGTCCTAGTGTGTGTATGCACTGACTGCAGTATATAAGGTTCCGGCAAAGTGATTTGTATATGGCGCTTACACTTCCTGTCTGTGCACCACCTGGATGCAGCTGGTTTGTCTTGTGCCCTGTGTGGTATCGGTGTTTGTCCCAGATAATACTCTCTCTGCCAGTTTGCTGATGGGAGGGATCGTGTTATCAAGATTTGGACTCTGGTCATTTGATCTGGCCGTGACGCAGCTGATGCAGGTATTGTTGCTTTTGTGCATTGGTGTATAGACTCTGTAGTGAGTCTGTAGACACATCACAATATCCTGTCTGTCCATCATCCGGCATTGCTATGAATAACAAAACCTGCACTGAAAAGAAGTAACGCTTTAAAAAGGAGCATGGTTCATCAGATGAAATGCAATATTGAAAGATGTAGTACAATATTAGGCTTTACTATCACACAGAGAGAATACATCCCTAGAGTCTAGACAGAAAGTGTCGCACCACCTGCAAACCAACCATCGCCCTGCTGCCCATCTCTTCTCAGGTGATGGATGACACCGAATTACTCTGCCATTTCCAAGTCTGAAAGTTGGAAGGACCTCTTCATCTCTGCGCACATTGGCTCTCTCTTCTTTTTGCGTGTGACAGACAGAAATATCCCCCGTTACGTTTGAAACTTGAAACTTTGAAAGGACAAAAAACTGCCCCTATCTCAGAATGTACCTGGTCCTCAGAACAGCCAGGAGCAGATCATGCACTTTGGCCTGTGCACATCCAGGTGCATGCCCACGGGGCTCGCTTTTTTTTGGCATCTGCAAACCTGAGTGGACCATTTATGTGCTTGTCCCTTTTCTTTCTTTTGTATTTTTTTGTCAAAGAAGAAAGTTGTGAGTCCGAGTTTCACTTCGCATTCCTGCACAGCTGCAAGTCCCAGGAAAGCCGGGGAACTTACCGAAAGCGGCAAACATCGGCAGAGGGACCAGCCCGTAAGCGGTAGAAAGAAGTCCGGAAGCGAATCGCGAGGGGAACAAAAGTCCAGTTGTTGAAGTCGTCAACACATATTCACTCGTGTGATCAGGCCGAAGTGCTGCTGCGCTATTTTGGGATGCATTGATCAGTGCCGCCGTAGAAAGTAGTCGACAGCTCTGGGTGGCAGTGCCATAGCTACCGTCTTCACCCGAATAGAACGCCCGGTCATTATAGCTGCATTTGGCCCAACTTTCAGTCCAGATGCAGCGATAATGACCGGGGGTTCTATTCGGGTGAAGACGGTAGGTCAACTGACAGAGAGAGTGAGTGAGTGAGTGACCTCAAGAGGTATGCAGAGGGAAAGTGAGGCCGAGCGCAGAGAAAAAGGAGTGAAAGAGAAGAGCAAGACCATACCTGAGAAAGAGACTGGCTGGAGGCCATAGCTGGCCAATGTGTACGTACTACAAAGACAATTTTGTGTAATCGAGTTTGATTGGCAGAGACTATCTTTTTTTTTTTTTTTCGAGGTTAGATCGCATGTGTGCTTCGTGTGTATGCTTCATCTGCTGTGAATTGGTGTGAAAAGTCCCCTGCGTGGTTGGTCTTGACTCTTGAAGCAACGGCGGTGACGCTATGGAATTTGCTAGACTATCGAGTCCTGAGCGCTGTCTTGTGCTGGGCTGCAGCTGTGAAAACAGCCTTGTGCTGTCTTGTGCGGAACCTTTGCTACGCTGCCGAGTCCTGAACGCTGTCTTGTGCTGATCCCTTGCTACACTATGGTGCCAAATGATTTGTCCTTCCTTGGTGTTTGAAAGGGGTACGGATTTTGGAATTCCCCTTCGGAGTTATTTTTGGGTTTAGGATGTATGCTTCAGGAGCGGAAGAGGACTGACAAAAAAGTATGGGCTTACCCTCTTTGCCCAGTCCATCCTCCTTCTTGGCTTGGCTGAGCTGCCAGAGTCATCAATGCTGTTGGGGTCTCCCTGGCCGTAACAAGGGGAAGAATGAATATTGTTACTTGTTATTGACGTGCCGGTAGAACACAAACCGAACCTTCTTTTTTTAATTTTTATTATGGCTCCATCCATTCTTATTGGTGGGGAGGGGGAACTGAGCTAACACTCTCCAGAAAGGGACAGCTGCCAGGTCCATAATCCCCTGTTATTATTACCAGAAGAAGAAGAAGAAGAAGAAGAAGAAGAAGAAGAAGAAGAAGAAGAAGAAGGATGCACAAGCAGAAGAAGAAGAAGAAGACAATTGTTGCGTCTTTGTCAAACTGAGACAAGTGACATGCGTTCGGCGTCGTGCAGGAAACGGTTCATGAGGCAGAAAGGGGAGTAGTTGGAGGCTTTCAAGGTGCAATGCAGGAGCTTATGAGCATGATTGGCTATGTGCTTTGCATCCTTTTTCCAAAACCCAAGGTGAGATTGCCATCCTGTTGAATATCTGAGAAACCAGAAGAAGCGAAGGTTCCAACCTCTGCGCTTAACCGGAACTCAAAAGGCTGTTATGATGTGTTATCAGCATTCAATGTTTGCGGTGTGCTTTTATTGAGAATTTAACTGTGGCATCCATCGACACCCTAAACCCTAAACCCTAAACCCAAAGCCTGGAGAGAAGCTCTGCCCATATGCACCCATCCCTCCTCCCTCTCCTACTCAGGTCCAGGGGGGGGGGGGGCGGTCTCTTAACCACAAGTTCTCTGAAAACATTAATTTCAGTGCTTGGTTCGCCAAAATTTTGTGCTCTAGCCTCTTGTTAACTAATCCTGCACAAATTGGTGGCACCTGAATTTCATTGTAGCTCATTCATCCTTCTGATTGACTGATACACCCTGCTGGCAAAAGGTCATGACCTCGATTCCTAATGAGTTGAGCTCTAACTATGTAAGTGTGATAGTGTGACATGAGCTTAGGGAAGAGCTTAGAGACCGGTCATCGAGTACTTGCCTGTATGTGCTCTTATACTGATCAGATGCAATCAGGAGCCCTCATTAGAAACAGGCCTTCCTTCGACCTCCCTTCCGAGTCTATTCCCCGTCTCCTACCGTCTTCACCCGAATAGAACGCCCAGTAATTATCCCCGTATCTGGGCTGAAAGTTGTGCCAGATACGGCGATAACGACCGGGCGTTCTATTCAGGTGAAGACGGTAGTCAGAACGGCACCTTACAACAATTTCCATTTTTCCAAACTCGTGTGTACGTACGAATTGAGGTTACCTCACATGCAGCCTTCACGTCACCTGTTCCACTTGATGGGGACATCGGGGGGAAAAAGGGGAAAGGATGGAAAGGGGAAAATGGAAGAAAGCTTTTTGGTTTCGCACGCCCGAACTTTTCCTGTTTGGCCAAGAAGGGCCCACGGGGTACACAGGCCGTCGGTTGTTAAAAATATGACGGGTCGACTCGAGATTGAGTCCGGACGGCTTGGCCCCTTCCTATCATGAACCTGGCGCTGTATCTGCACCAGATTCATTTTCCGGTAGGCCGTTATTGCCAAATGGGAAAAGTTTGGGCGCACGAAACCAGAAAGGTTTCGGAGTGGACGCTCTCCACCAATTATCCCAAGGTGGCTTCTACTTTGGGGGATCCCCATTCTGGGGTCATCTCCAGAGGCACACATTGGGAAGAAAAAAAAGATTGCGTACTAAAAGGGCCTTTACGATTCAGACCCGTAAATGTGACCCCAGCAAAAGGGGCCCTCTCGGCCTGAACTCAATTTCACGAGCAATTTCCAAAAGACAAGTTCCTGAGTTATATGTCGCATCCAGAATGAAGTGAAAAGTCGTTTTGAACAGTCACGAACAGGTCCTCAACGAACAGGTACTGAACACAGACTTAGAGTCATGTCTGTTTGACGATAAGTCATGTCTATTCGGCAATAAGTCAAAGGTCCCAGTCCCAGTCCAGTTACAGTCCCAGGGGTCAATCCTGATTCAGTCCAGGAGTCCAAAAGACAGGCCCGACGGCCCAAAGCAGCAGCAGACCATGGGAAAGAATACTGGGACACACACTTTGCAACAACAGGTACTGGGCAGGAGTCCCAGACACTTGGAGGCCGAATTCAGACCTCGCCAGACCAGTCCAGCGCTATAAAGGACTGGCTAGCCTCCTCATTCGGCAGATACTCATGGGCATGAGAGTGTGGAAGTGCTGAAGCACTTGTGAGCCAGAATGCTAGTGAGCTGCGCTAGGCTTGCGAGCTGCGCTGAAGAGGAAGAAGGGAGCTGGGTGCTGGCTGAAGGAAGCAGCCATAGCTGCGCCAGCAGGGGTTAGTAGAAGTAGAAGGGTTAGTAGGTATTCCAGTGAGTAGTATTCATAGTAGATCCTCATGTGATAGGGAGTGTGCATGCATGATGAGAGTGAGTAGACCAGGACTGTAGACAGAGAGGGAGAGAAGAAAGACAAGGAGGTGAAGAGAGAGAAGAGAGCTAAGGTGATACTTACCTGTTGAGCATCGATCTTGGTGATTGTTGGCTAGCGCTGATGAGCGCCTGGCCTGAAACACTTATCGAATGAAGAAGACATGTATTTCTGTTGGGCGCTAACCTTTTGGAATCATGATTCTCTCTGGTTAATCTGGTTATGATAATTGAGTTGAGCTTCCTGGTTTCCACTCATTTTCCATGGTACTTCGTGTGAGTTTTTGCAATCTGTGTGATCAGCGTGACATGCATGTTATCTGGGACACTCCAGCAAGTGACGAGTAGCTGGGTTCCTTGCAGTACTGTTGTAGGATTAAAAAAAAAAAAAAAAAAAAAAAAAAGAGGATAACCATTTCCATCTCACCCCAGATACGATGAAACGGAGGCCCCCAAGTATCATTTACATACATTGCATCTGATCAGTATGTGGGAAAGAGGGAAGGGGGAGGGCATGAGAGGAGAGGAACCCGAGGTAAGGGATAAAGGGAGGGACACAGGAAAGCGAGGAAGAAAGTGGGTGCTATGATCCTGGCTATTTTGAGGTGCAATAACACAAATGCAAGGAAGATGAGCAATAGTGAATTCCAGAAATCAAACAGCATCATACACATGAGACCAGATAGTCGTGACCTCCAACCAGAAGCAGAATTGCATCATGAGTTCCACCAAATAAGAGCACAGCAAAAGCTCACAAGTGACAATGTGCGAATAGTCCCATCATCATCAACAATGAACCAATGTCGATATCCTATCTGGCGCTCGGCACCCAGACTACAGATGGCAGATCCTATCTAGCCTACTATCTACAATGCCGCTGATGACGTCAACAGCTCCCCGAAGTACGAGCAGATCTCGGCCAGTGTCGCACGCCTCGAACACCAGGTATGTCTCTTGTATCACTCACAACCCCGTTCCTCAACTCACAGATGCCACTAGCACCCAGGGACCACCATGCGCCCCATCCAACATACAGCAGCGCAGCTCGGCTATGGCTGCCTGCTCCTTCCAGCTCGCCCGTGAGTGCGTGAGCGCTGGCCAGCAAATAGCGCAGCAGTGCTTGCGCAGCATGCAGCCAGCACCCGAATGCCAAATGTGTAGGCAGGCCCTTCCCTATATCGAAGTGGCCTGCTGCTGCGTGCTGTGCTGCGGTACTGGGCCGCGGCCCAGAAGCTTCCGGTAGGCCCCACGAGGCTGAGCCTTCTGTCAGAGGAAACAGGCCCAGGGCCTGTGGTGGTTACTGGTGCCCAACTGCCCGCAGCCTGTGTTGGGTCCATGCTGCGAATCTCGCCCAGGGCCTGACTCAGATACATTTGATAAAGGAGGCCAGGGCCTGGGCGCTTTCTACCAACTGGCGCTGCACAACTGCCTGAATTTCCTTAGTTGCGTGGTGGCCAAAATAGAGGCCCTCAGGCCCTCGTTGAGCCTGCCTTCACTTAGGGCGGCCGACGTGCTGCATCACAGGGCCTGATAGGGGCTCATCGGGGCCTTGGCCTCGCACAAAGAAAGACAATGTCGTTCAATTGCAACTGAAATGAAAGAACTTCGAAAGAGAAATAGACAAAGGAAGAAGAATATTAATGAATGGAAGATGAAGAAGAAGACGTACACCAGGAAAGACCAATGTCAAATCCTCCTCCAACTCGCCATCAGCTTCAACCTCTTTATCTCCCCCAACCTCGTCAACACAAATAACAATGAAAGAATGAATCAGAACCAATGTCCAAATCTCCTTCTTACTGCCAGCAACACATGAGGTCCACCATAGCCATGACCTACACCTTCTTCTACCTCCTCCAAGAAGGTGGATATGGCGGACTAGCAGAGCGCCGCTCCGATATTCGAAGGACAACGCAAAGCTGATGTGCCCTCTCTACTATGGCCACCATGCCCATATCTGCCCCGAAGTCTTCCTTGATAGAGTTTAGCCCTTGTGGGGCCTTCCAGGTGCACCGCCAACCAAGAAGACGAAGATGCCATCCACCATAGCCAGGTAAGCACCCCCGTCACTCTCCTCCTTGCTCACCGTCTTCCTCCTCCTCCTCCTACACCCCGGAGCCTTCCTCCTTGGCCCGCTCCACCGTAGCCAAGGTGGGCGGCCAATTCCGCCTGCTTCCTCCCCAACGCTGGACTTCCTAGTGCTCGCTCCAGCAGCATGATGCCTAACTTGCACACTGCAAAATGAGGAGGAGCACTTCGCTCCTCCCAAAGATATACCGAGCAGCTGCCTCCTTGGGTGGGAACTTTCTTGGCCGCTCAACCTCCCAAGCTACCGCTACCTGCCACCTTTCGGAGGGAAACATCATAAAGGTCTAAATTAATGTTCTTCGCTACAGGCCCTAGACTCAGACTACCGGACCGATACCCCTAGACCTTAGGTCTACCGGACTTTAAAATTCACTCGGCCTGTAAGGGTACTAACTTTTTGTCTTCTTCTTCCTACCTACCCGCTACTCAAGTGTTTTACAGCCTGCCCAGGCCTAGCCTACCTACTACTTGAGTGTTTTCCATCCTACCGGGTCTAGCCTACCGCTACACCCCGCTGCAACCCACAAAGGCATGGCCACAGGTAACTACCAGGCTCGCGGGCCTTCCAAGCATACAAGTACACTGGTGGGTAACACACACACCCAAGCAATCATGCACTCAGACCAACACACAGAAACTCAGCATCATGCACACACGCAGACTAAACCTCAGCAGAAAGCACGAATCTCAGCAAGTCACACAATCCAGTAGCAAAACTCAGTCTGCGATTTTGCAGGTGATTACAGTGAGCGTGCATCGAACGACTTGAACCACCAGTACCTCTCCCTGCGCACCAAAAAAAAAAACACAGAACGCTGCAGGCACATTTTCTGTTGTTTTCTTTTTGCTTGGCACGACCAGTCATTTCAGTTCGATAGTACTATTCATCTGAAAATCTCAGTTGTGTGCAAAACGTCGTAAACATTTGCCTGTGAAAGGTACTGGTGGCTTAAGGGAGAGAGGGAGGACGAGAGGGGCAGGGAGGGAGAGAGAAAGGTTGGAAGCTATCAGATAGCAACTGGAATAGTATTATATTCACGTGTGCATCCTCCTAGGCAAAAAACTCAAATTATTGCGGCCAAGGAGGGACAATTCTTCTCACTGCTTTCATATACACTTGCGAGAGCTCCCGAGACTATAAACGGCCATTATACCCCTGCAAACATGGGTACCCTTCTGTTCCTAGGTTTCCCCCTTCTTTTTACATGTCTGTCTTCTTATCTTTCAGTGCAACCACAGGAAAGTAGGTAGAGGGGGTAGCCGAAGGCAGTGTGTGTGTGTGTGTGTGTGTGTGTGTGTGTGTGTGTGTGTGTGTGTGTGTGTGTGTGTGTGTGTGTGTGTGTGTGTGTGTGTGTGTGTGT